GATAAAACCTAAACGATACCCATCCCTATTTGTGAGTATTATTATTTTCAAAAATCAACCAACTGTTGGTGTGATTATTATAAAACAACAACCAGGAGGAGCATGTTAATGATTTAAAGGTAACAAAGAACACAGTTTGAAGCACAGTACGCCATATTAGATTGAAATCTTGCAGTGTCCCCACAGTCAAATACGGAGGTAGAAACATTGTTACCAACAAGGGTTTCTCCACCATGTTTTCCCCGGGGATCAAATACTTATTTCAGTTGGCCATGCAAGTCAATTTCCAACTTTTAGCCAATATGTTTTCTACGGGGGTTTTTTGATTAAAATTAAATGTTTGTTTTTTGGAGGATGTTAATTTCTTTATAAGTGAGCAAACCTACAGCTTCAGCATAGGCTCAAACAAGCCTGTGTTCCACTGTGTGCAGTACATTGAACAAATACTGAGGAGCACTGTAAATGTTTTTGAGAGTGTGTTATTAAAGAAAGACAGTGATAACTCCGCTGGACTGACCCTACATTCAAACTCTGTTGAATAATTGGTAAATGGACTGGTTCTTTAATACTCTATGTCAAACTCGCCTCATTCACACAAACACTGTTTTGCTGTACTCTTTCTATGCTAGTGATTTCTATCTAACATTAACATGCATTCATGCTCCCATGGATGCATCAGAGAGCAACATGGGTTTAGTGTCTTGCCCAAGGACATTTGACAAGAAGAGCTCAAACTACCAAGCCTCTGATTAGTAAGTGGCCTGCTCTGCTACCCGAGCTACGGCCACCCACTCAATTCCCAGAACAATACAGAAACATGAAAATGAGAACCTATAATGTTTGATAGCGAATAATATTATTCACTAAGCAAGGTGAGATAAAGGTGAGACGTGCAAATAGGAACAGCAGAATGGTAATTCCAACAAACCATGAAGTGAGAAAGAAGAAAAATGGAGGATCAAGATATGCAGTGGGAATGACACTGTAAGTTATGTCTGAGAAAATTGCTTGTGTCTGCATGTCAGTGTGAGATATATATCCAGGTGCACCGCTATCCCACTATTACTGTCCGTGCCTTGCCTTGCAAATATTCTATAATCTGAAGGACAAATCAACAATATATTTACTGGGGTAAAAATTAAATGCAAAACTCATCATTGACCATTTGTGTAGGTTTTATTATTTAAGATATTTAACATTTAACATTTAAAAGAAAAGGGCAGGAGATGTGCTGAAAGAGTCCTGCAAGAAAATATTGTCAAACAGTTCAGTACAACAAATACCTGAGACTTAAATAGACTCAAGGTAATTAGGGAGAGGGGAGGAAGCTGGGGAAGACAAGACACAGGTGGATAAAAGATCGAATCTAGCTAACGAGAGAAGGGCAAGCAAAACTAAAGACAATGCACACAACATTAGCACGGTAACAAATTAAAACAGGACGTAACTAAACACAGGACACAAGAATGCAAACTTGATATGGAGAACACAGATGGGCAGAAAACATCCAACTATGAAAGCAAAATACAACCTGAAAATATCATGGACCCACCACCCCCCCAAAAAAAAACAACAACAAAAAAACCCCCAAAGAACAAAAAAACAGGAAATTAAGGCTAGAATATGAAAATCCAAACAAGAATAAAGAAGGATATGCAGAGGGTATAATAATAAGTGCAGGGTCAAAGACCCCAGATCATCTGACAGGTGACAGTCGATCCAGCAGAACTATATGCTTTATCAAACATGGATCTTTTTTGGTGGTTTTGGTGCAGACTCGTCAAACTCTGGACTTAAATGTAACTGATATCTGTAAAGAAGAGTGGAGCAAATTCCACCAGGATGCGACTCATTGCCAGTTAAACTCAACATTTTCACAGCACCGTATGAGAAATAGAAGTTAACATGCATTTATGAATAGAAAGTTGCTATCATAGGTATCTCTACGAGTCATATGCTGCACACCCAGACATGTGATTCTACAGATTAGTTTCCAGGAAACAATGTGTATGATTTGAATATAGGAGATGAATGAGTTGAATGATTTGACTGCATTATTATTTATACACAGATTGTAGGTGAAACTTAACAAATTTGTGTTCAGTGCAAAATTTAAATCTTGCAATGAGTCTGAATTAGTTGGCGCCAATGAGTGCAAGGGTTAGGGTTAGGGTCCAACAGGGGACTTAACTTAGCTGCTGCTAAGTGGTTGTATTAGGATTATATTCCTGTATAAAAGCAAGGTTGTCAAGTGCCTGTGTAGTTTTGCAGCTGGATTACCATTCTAAAGAAACTAGAACTTTCTAGTCCATCCATCCATCCACATATGGTATGAGAGATTTTCTGACCTCTGGTAGGACAATGAAGGCTCCAGTCATGATGGTGAGAACAATGTTGATCCCAAACAACCAGCGGAGGAAGATAAAGTAGGAGGCCACGCCTGACCCAAAGTGACCTCAGCAAGTCAGAGGAAACATCAAAATAAGACTAATATGTTGCACATAGTTCACACACAAACACTGCTGTAGGTGTACACCACTGACAGTAATGCAGTAATGTAAGCTTAATCTAACATATAATAAACACAGCTCACTGAATAAACTTTCAAATTCATGGTGCCTGGAAGCAAACACTATTTGGTACATTAATGACAAAGAAATAAAAATTTCTTTTTGAGAAAAATGTGTCAAATTAGGCAGTTGTACTGGGCAGCGTACTGTGGTGGCCTAATACACCATAACACGACTATAACAGTCACCAACAACCCTTTGGGTTGTTATTTATGTCGATGCCTTCATCCATACAATAAAATGACTGAGCTCATCAATGCATCCATAAGGCTTCAATTTATCCTAAGAGTGCATGTGCCAAATAGCATTTGTTCCTTTAGTGCTGTCACCAAAATGCTCTCTTTGAAGCTCCGCACCAATTTGATCACTTTAATAATCTGTTGGATTGTGTTCTGCTGAACCACAAATTTGAATAGCTTAAACACGTAACCAGCAGTATCCTTGGATCTGTTGAGCCGTTGTTCTCGATATGCATTTAAATCAGTGTGTTATTGTCTCTTGAATGGCCCCAGTTCACAACAACGTCTCTTCAAAGTCCATATGCTGATGGTAATGTGTTGATTCTGAGCTAAAATCACAAATATTTCTTTGTTGCTGAATCCAGTTGAAAAGTATAATTTAATAAGGCCATCTAATGTTTGAATATATCACAGCAAAGCCGATGTGGAAAGCAATGACTTTCCTTGATGAAAAGATGATATTTTCAAAGTTATTTCTAGCAAATTTCCAATTTTCTGTCCTGTTGAACATCATGAGTGATTTCCTATCCCCCCCCCCTTTGTTTTTTTCTTTTTAGCCAGCAGATGTAGGAAACACGTTTTTATGAACAAAGAAAACAGATAACTCACTTTCAATTTTCTTGATCCTGACTTCCCAAGGAATGAACAGCACCACAATGTTGTAAAGCAAACGGGAAAGTTTCTTCAGCAGCTGCAGGAGAGAATCAGGCTGAGAAACACTGACAGAGGTTTACCAAAAAACTACTTCTACCATTGTTTCTGTGATGAAAAGCTCTCAGTAAAGTCTAAAATTATAACAGCAATTACATTTTTTATTTATTGTGTGTTGATGAACTGTCTAATTTTCAATTTCCAGCATATAATAAAGTAGCAGACACCTGAAACAGTGTGGCTGTATCGTTTTTAGTGCTGAAAGATAAGAAACACAACTAAGCTGTTAATTGTTAATCAAGAGAAGGTCAGCTGGGCCATTGATTCTGATTTTCAATTAACCGTCAGCCAAACTGTAGAACTGATACCGGATCATCAGACTGCTCAGTGAAAGTCAATTTATTCTAATGGGTGGGAAGCAGCCCAAACATTGAATTAACTGCGCCGTAACATGGGCTATAAATTCACTTGTGCTGCTCCATGGATTATTGCAGCACAACTGTCGTTCTCACTGTCTGACTTAATCTTTTTGCTAATACGAATAAAGAGCTATACACATGTGTGTTCAGCCCACAGAGGAGAAGAGCCTCGAAAGATCAAAACTCAGCAGCCTTTATATAAGAAATCCAACACAATTTACTGTGTTGGCTGTAATCATCAGGCCACTGCAGTGCAGAGAAATAAAACTGCCCTGAAATAGCACTTTATCCTGTTGTGGACAAGATCTATAATGCACTATAAATACATTAAGCAATCTGTTTCTCCAATCTCCAGTCCAGCAGGATTAGATTGTTAGTGCAAAAAAAAAAGGCTGGTGGACGTACATCAGCTCCTGCGGTCTGGTAACCTCTGGTTCTGGTTAGTCGGCCCTCATATCGCAGAACAGTCTCTCTGGCCTGCCTGGGAATCACACAGATAACGTCCACCAAGTACATTTATTTATTTAAACAGAAAAAGATCTTTCCATTCAGTTACTTGCATTTTTACAAATTAAAATTTTGTGAATACTTACGCAGTACACATAATCAAGTGCAATCAAGTAATCAATAATCAAGTGAGCACAACTCAAAATTAAATTGAATCTTAATTAAATGTTATTGAAGTAGCCCCAACATCTTTACATCAAAGATTTTCAGTATATAAATATTATTTCTCTGATTCAAGTAATCAAACCTGTTTTTGTTCTGGCACAAGGAACAACCAGGAAGCCACTGAGTACTGAGTGTGTGAATTGTATAATAATTTACAGACTTTCAAGGCTCAAAAAAGAAACTTCGGCTTTACAATAAATGCTGATAAATAATAATAAATGTTCATTTACAGGGCTGAGAGTCCAAATCTGAAGAATAATGTGGGTAAAAATCACAAATTTGTGGTGTGAAATAAATTGTTCTTGCAGTGGAAATAATTACACTCACCCTGAGATTAAAGGGGGTTTAAAACTGCACACTAGCATCCCACCCCTGATGATGGTAATAAAACCTCTGCGGTAATAGCAAACTGCCCATATAAAACCTGTTATTCATGGCACACACTCAGCACATCTCTGGAGCTCTCTATCTACTCCCTCCGTCTCTCTGTGGCTCAGCTCGGTCTCTGTCAGTAGTCTCCTTGGACTCAGTCAGTCTATACTATTTGTTGATACTATCAAAAAAATTATATTTCCTTATGCAAAAAGATATAATTGGTGAAGGTAAAATTAAATGTGTCCCTCATATATGCTCTTCGTGTACAGTGATGGGAAAACCCTCCCACCTTCCTTTAATTCCAAGGTTTTATGTACAAGGAAATAATAAAAAATAATCTGGTATTTACCACATTCTAAACTTACAGTGTAACGTGCCATGTAACTGCATGACATATCACACTGTGTGCGTGTTAAAACAGGCTTATCTGTTTCCTGTCACTGGCAGTACTTTCCTCTCCATCACCACATCGTTGCCCTACTCTGTGTCAAAACCTAGCTGCTGTGTTTGAGTGCTTACCTGTCTGGCCCAGTCTCTCACACACTCTCAGTTGCAAACTGTTCTAGAGGCTTTGACATTGCAAAGCTGGCCCTGTGGAAAAAGTGATATCCTGACTCGTGAAAGAATTGTAGTAAACATTTTTGCTGGAGTCATTCTTGAAATGGTTCATTAAGCCCTGGAGAACCTTTCTCAGCTGCATCTGAGTCCTCTGAAACTTTGACAGTTCTGTAGTAGATTTGCTGCTGTGCTTGGGATCATTGTCCCTAGCTTTGCAACAGATGCCCTTATATTTGACTTTAGAAGGCTTTTGTATAATTTGCTTGCTTTAATATGCACTATATTGCCAAAAGTATTCACTGACACATCAAAGTGACTTTAAGTGTTCCAATCCATTGTTGTTGATCAATGGTCATGAGAATTTGCATAATTATGATTAAGGAACTGACCTCCCAGCCCATTGTTCCTTCAGTGGGCTGGTTTCAGTCATTATGCAAATGTCCTGTTTATAAGGTTGAAACCTGCAGTCATGCTTCTCCATCTCCATCAGTTTGGACTTGGCATTTGCAAGGAGAACAGTACTTGTTTGACTGCATTATGCCAAGAGTAAAGTTTGGTTGAGCAGGAATTACGATGTGAGCTTGTTTTTCAGAAAGTAACTCTTAATCCTTTAGCATACCAAGACATTTTGGACAATTTCATGCTCTCAACTTTGTGGGAAAAGCTTGGGGATGGCCCCTCCAGTTCCAAAATGACTGCACACCAGTGCACAAAGTAAGGTCCAGAGACTGGACCCTGCTGTGAGCCAAGCCTTGTGGTCCAACACTTGTGTCTCACCTCATTAATATGCTTCTGAAAGAATGGTCCGAATTCACACAAACACACTCCTGAACCTTGTGGAAAGCCTTCTCAGAAGAGTTCAAGTTGTTATAGCTTTAAAGGCAACACCATATTAAACCCTATGGCTTAAGAATAGGATGTCACTCAAGTTCATATGCATGTGAAGATAGATGAGTGAATATTTTTGACAATAAAGTGTAGTGCTTTTCTAGTCCTACTAACCAAATAAACAGTGCTATACAACAAATCAGATTTGATCTCCAAAAGTTGGTTCTGTTCATCTGGACGTAGCGTTTTCAGTGGGAGAAACGTTTCGTGCAAATGTCCTGTTTATAAGATTGGAAACCTGCAGTCAGCTGAGACTGAAGACGTCACCTGGATGAGTGATGAAACATTTCTCCCACAAAACGCTGCGTCCAGATGAACAGAACCAACTTTTGGAGATTTACTTACCTGGATAACTGAGAATGCATCACGATGAAATCAGATTTGAATTATACATCCATTGATATTGACTGATTTTATACACTTCAAGCACTTCATCTACCAAAAGTTAATCGCCAATTTAAAATTTAAAAACAATTATACTGCAAAGCTAGAGTACCCAGAGTTAAATGAAATGATTCTTATATAGCACTTTTCCACTCTCCCAGAGCACTCAAGCCGTTTTATATATGCCTCATTCATCTATTCATACAAGCGTTTTCTTCTAGGATTCAGGGCTTTTTATCTACCAATT